ACAAAGCGCATCCAACTTACACGCCCCTCCTTTGCGCCCGGCTGGCTCGCTTGCCGCAGAGGACCGCCCACGATGTCCCTCTCGCGGTCCCCCTCCGGCCTCGATGGCCTTCTTGGGGATGAGATCTCCCCCGCCGGCGCCGCGGCCCCGGCACCCGTCAGCCGGTCCCTGTCGGTTGAGCAGCTGTCGGCCATGTTCTCCGGCGCGGCGCCGACCCCCCCGGGCGGGCTGCCCGCCCTGCGGTCTGCCTCGAGACCCACCTCGCGGCCTCCCTCCCGGCCAGCATCCGTTGCCGGGGACCTCCCCCCGCCGCCCCCTTCGGCCTGGGGCAGTTACGTGCCCAGCCGCGGCGGAGCCGGCGACTCGCCCGGGCCCGGGCGCTCACGCAGCAATTCCGTCTCCTCGGTGCCTCCCTCGCCACTGGGGTCCTCTTCCAGCTTGGATGGCTCGCAGCCGGCCTCGCCGGCCCGGCGCAGCCGCTCACAAAGCCTCTCCGGGTCCTTGCCCTCGCTGGTGCCGACCGAAGAGGACACGGCCCTGCCGCCACGGCCGCCCGGTGCCATCGGCGCCCCCTCGGCCATTGGCCCTTCCCCGGTGCCGCCTCCCCGGCCCGATCGCCTGCGCGCCGGGAATCTCTCCTCCTCCTCCTCCTCTTCGCTGTCCGGCCCATCTGAGGGCTTCGGCGCGCCGCCTGTCCCGGATCCGGCGCTGAAGCCCCTCTCCCGGGCGAATTCCATCTCGCTGGCCGGCTCGGCCGGGGTGACCTCGGCCGACCAGCGCCGGTCGAGCCTGCCGCCGCTGCCGGGGACGGCCAGCGCGGCGGCGGCCGCTACCGCCACCGCCGTCATGGCCGATCCCTCGACCACGGCCTACTCGGCCGACAGCACCCCCCTGGGATCTCCGGCCTTGATGTCCACCAGCTCCAGTGGCGGCCAGGCCTCGGGCGGCCCCTCAACCCCCAGCCCCACCCCCCCACCGGCGAGCCTGAAGCCCGGGGCCCGGACGCGCTCGCAACTATCCCTGGCACAGTCGCTCGGGGAGTCCGGCCGCTCGGCGTCGCTCAACTCGCTGAACGGCGGCCCGGATGCCAAGTCCACTCACGATGGTGCATCTCCCTCCCCGGGCGACAGCGGGTCCTCGCCCACCGGGAGGATTGATGCGGCGACGGCGGCGGCGGCGGCGGCTGCCATCAGCCGGCGCTCCTCCTCCGGCAGCCCGGGGCTCAGCATTCAAACGGCCCCGGCGCCTGCTTCTGCCCCGGCGCCTCCCCTGTCCGGGGGCCCCCGTAGTTGGGCCGACATTTTCCGCTCCGACCCGGCCAGCATGAATAGCTCGCCGGTTCCCTCGCCGACCGTGCAGCGCCCGGCCTCCGGCGCCAGCATCGCCGCTGTCCCCACGTCGCTGGCCCCGGCCGCGCAGGACTCCCCCTCCCTGCTGGCGTCTTCGTCTTCCGGGTCGCTGCGCATGGCGGAGCCTCTGATGACCGGGGACCGGCCGTCGCCCCCTCTGCCGGGCCTGGCCGCTACTCCGATTGCGACGTCCGCGGCGCCGGTGGCGGCCTCGACCCCGGCAGCGGCCACGCCGGTGACGCCGGCCGCCCCGGCCGTGCCCTCGACCCGGCCCAGCACCGTCCCCCCACCGCCACCCACGCCCACGGTGGACGGGCCGAAGTTCCGGGATGTCTTCCTGGCCGCCCTGCGTGCCGGCGACTCGGTCATGCTGCATGCCATCCTCCAGCGCCGGGCGGCGGTCATGGCCGACGTCGAGTCTCAATTGTCCCACCTGTCCGATTCGCAGTCCGACATGCCGCAAGTGGAGTACCTGAACAATCGCCTGATGAACTATAGCATCGAGTTCCCCATCGGCCCCTTCAAGTGGCCACCCCTGCACTTGGCCGTGCGCGCTGGGCGCATTGATCTATGTCAGGTGCGTGTCCCTCCCCCCGCCCCCGATGGTCCAGCGTCTCTCCCCCCCCCCCCCTCCTTTCC